AAATTTATAAGGAATTACAAGGGGCCTTGAATATGCAAAGCAATCTTGAGAAAGAAAAACAAATAATGTACTATAAAGCTACAGTAATCAAAATAACCTTTGCAGTGTAATGGATTGCTTTTTGTGTGGCCTTTCTAGCCATTGTCTTGTAACTCCCACCCAGGTGAGTGGGCAGGACTGTGTGATAGGGTAATTGTGGGCCACCAAGGGGATTGGTCAGTTTTGCCATCCTGCTGGGCTTAAAATGAGCTACCCCAGAGGTGGGAAAGAGAAGAGCCCACCACCACCAAGGAAGGAGAGACTGGCAGGAGAGACTCACAGAAGATGGCACAGTGGTCTTTCTGGCCCACGGAGCAAGAAATCTGAATGCCTTTGGGCAGAGACTGAGGGCCAAGGAGAAGCCTACACCTGAACCATGAATTTGGGACTTGCCAGCCTCCAAAAACATGTGAGCCATTTTCTTTATATGGTTTGTGAGTTCTGTGAGACATTGCAGCGAATTAGGGAACCCAAAAACAGGAGGGAGAGTGCTGAGTGGAGAGGGAGTAATTGATGTCAAAGATGATGGAGTGGTAAAGCAGCTTGGGAAAGCGGGACATTTGGGACATCTTTAACCTCCGCCTCATAGGAACCAGCTTTGTGCGATCCTTATAAAAGAAATTATTCGTTTAGTCTGGTACTGGTATAATGATAGAGGTATAGATCAATAGAACAAAATTGAGAGTCCAGAAAAAACCCATATATCTAAGGTCAATTGATTTTCAACAAGGGTGCTAGATCCGTTCAATGGGGAAAGAATAGGTTCTTCAATAAATGGTGCTGCCGAATCAAAACTGGAAATAACAAACGTTGGAGAAGCTGCAAGGAGATTGGAACTCTTATGCACTGCTGGTGGGTATGCAAAATGATACAACCATTTTGGAAAACGATATGGCACTTCCTTAGAAAGCTAGAACTAGAAATACCATACGATCCAGAAATCCCACTCCTAGGAATATATCCTAGAAGAATAAGAGCCATCACATGAATAGACATATGCACACCCATGTTCATTGCAGCATTGTTCACAATAGCAAAAAGATGGAAACAACCTAGATGCCCATCAACAGAAGAATGGATAAACAAACTATGGTACATACACACAATGGAGTATTATGCATCAATAAAGAACAATGATGAATCTGTGAAGCATCTCATAACATGGATGAAACTGGAGGACATTATACTGAGTGAAATAAGTCAATCACAAAAGGACAAATATTGTATGAGACCACTATTGTAAAAACTCTTGAAAAGGTTTACACGCAAAAAGAAACAATCTTTGATGGCTACGAGGGAGGGGAGAGGTGGGGGTGGAGTGGGGAATACTGAACAGACAATAGATAAGTGGTAACTTTGGTGAAGGGTAAGACAGTACAAAGTAGTGGGGAATCAGCACAACTTGGCAACATCATGGAATCTCTATAGACACATCCAAACTCCCTGAGCGACCGAATTGCTGGGCTGAGGGCTGTGGAGACCATGGTCTCAGGGAACATCTAGCTCAATTGGCATAACATAGTTTATAAAGAAAATGTTTTACATTCTACCTTGGTGAGTAGCATCTGGGGTCTTAAAAGCCTGTGAGCAGCTATCTAAGATACTCCACTGGTCTCACCCCTTTGGGAGCAAGGGAGAATGAAGAAAACAAGATACAAGGGAAAGATTAGTTCAAAGGACTAATGGACCACAACTACCATGGCCTCCACCAGACTGAGTCCAGTATAACTAGATGGTGCCCAGCTACCACCACTGACTGCTCTGACAGGGATCACAACAGAGGATCCTGGACAGAGCTGGATAAAAATGTAGAACAAAATTCTAACACACAAAAAAGACCAGATTTACTGGCCTGACAGTGACTGGAGAAACCCTGAAGAGTATGGCCCCGACACACTTTTAGCTCAGTAATGAAGTCACTCCTGAGGTTCACCCTTTGGCCAAAGATTAGACATCCCCATAAAATAAAACAAAACTAATGGGGCACAACAGCCCAGGGACAAGGACTAGAAGGCAGGGGGAGACAGGAAAGCTGGTAATAAGGAACCCAAGGTCAAGAAGCGATAGTGTTGACATGTCGTGGGGTTGTTAACCAATGTCATAAAACAATATGTGTACTAACTGTGCAGTGAGAAACTGTTCTGTAAACCTTCAACTAAAGTACAATAAAAAAAAATTTTTAAATAAGTGGTGCTGGGACAATTCGATTTCTACATACAAAAGAATGAAGCTGGACCCATACCTCACCTGATATACAAAAATTAACTCAAAATGGATCAAAGACCTATTTAGAAGAATTAAAACCATAAAAGTCTTAGAACAAAACATAGGGGTAATGCTTCAGGACCTAGTTTTTGTCAATGGATTCTTAGATATGACACCAAAAGCAAGAGGAACAAAAGAAAAAACAGGTAATTGAACTTCATTAAAATTAAAAACTTTCGTGAATAAAAAGACTTTATCAATAAAGTGAAAATGTACAGAATGGAGAAAATATTTGAGAACCATATAACTGATAAGAGTTTAGTATCCAGAATATATAAAGAATACCTACAACTCAACAACAAAAAGATAAACAGCCCAATATAAAAATGGGCAAAAGATTTGAATAGACATTTGTGATGGTTAAGATTGTGTGTCAGCTTGGCTGGGCCATGATTCTCAGTGTTTTAATGTAATCACTCCCATTATTGAATGTATTGTGAGTAGCCAATCAGATGAAAGGGAGTCTCCTTGCGGGTGTGGCCCGCATCTGAATATAAGCAGTCGTTCTAGCTTTTTGCTCTCTCTGGATCCTGCAGCTGCCTCCTGTCGTCTCATCTCTGGTTCTTGGGTGGGACTTGAGCTGTCAGCTTCTCTGCTGAACCTGGGATTCATTGATCTGCACAGCCTGTGAGCGGGAGCCCTGCTCTCTGACCTGCTGACCTTGGGCTGCCAGCTTCTGCGTCTGCGTGACTTGGGAGAGGCCTCTACCCTGCTCCACGGACTTGGGACTTTCTAGCCTCTACTATCGCATGAGCTGTTTCCTTGATATAAATCCCTCTCTATATATATTGATACACTTTACTGGTTTTGCTTCTCTAGGGAACCCAGCCTAAGACAACATGTCTCCAAAGAAGATATGCAAATGGCCAATAAGCACATGAAAAAAATGTTCAACATCATTAGTCATTAACCCAATGCCATGAAATCAATTCCGACTCATAGTGACTCTATAGGGCAGTGTAGAACTGCCCCAAAGGATTTCCAAGGAGCTACTGGTGGGTTTGAACTGCCAACCTTTTGGTTAGCAGCCTGAGCTCTTAACCACTATGCCACCAGGGCTCCTCATTAGTCATTAGGGACATGCAAATCAAAACCACAATGAGATACCACTTCACCCTCACTAAGACAGCTTTTATTGGAAAAATGGAAAATGACAAGTGTTGAGAAGGATATGGAGAAATTGGAACCGTCATTCATTGCTGGTGAGAATGTAAAATGGTATCGCCACTGTGGAAAACAGTTTGGCAATTCCTCAAAAAGTTAAACATAGGATTACCATATGACACAGCAATTCCACCCTTAGGTATATACCCAAAAGAATTGAAAACAGGAATGCAAACAGATACTTGTATACCAATGTTCATTACAGGACTATTCATAATAGCCAAAAGGTGGAAACAACCCAAATGTTCATCAACAGATGAATGGATAAACAAAATGAATATATATATGTATATAAATATACAGTAGAATATTATTCAGCCATAAAGAGAAATGATGCATGCTACAACATGGATGAACCTTGAAAACGTTTTGATGAATGAAGTAAGTCAGACACAAAAGGACATATATTGTATGATCCCACTTATATGAAATATTTAGAAAAGGCAAATATACAGAGATCAAAGTTTATTAGTGGTTATCAGGGGTAAGTGCGAGGGAGAAAGGGAGAGTTATTGCTTAATGGGCACTGAGTTTCTGTTAAGGGTGATGAAAACTTTGGAAACTGGTGATTGTTGTACAACATGGTGAATGTAATTAATGTCATCGAATTGTACATGTAAAAATGGTTGAAATGGAAAATTTTTATATATTAATAAAAGAAGAAATTATAAATAATGTGAATAAAAACAAGTCACAAAATGGCAAAAGATAATTTCAACACACATAAGCAATAAGGAAGTCCCAAAAATCAATTTTAAAAATGGGCAAAAGACATAAACACATATTTCACAGATGTTACATGAATGGCAATACATATATGATCAACCTCACGAATAATCAGAGAAATACAATATAAATGTATGATGAGTTACCATTTTACATCACCATATTGGCAAGTTCTTAGAACCTACAAGGATTCGCTCCTCATAAATCCTCAGCCGGCCTCGCCTGACCTCAGAGACCTGACACAGCGTAGGGCTCATCCCCTGTGCCCCAGCCATCCAGCAGGCCCCGGAATTGTCTATTATTCTTAAAGTGTCACACACTAAAAATAAAACTCGTTGGCAGTCGAGTGGATTCTGACTCATAGGAACTGTAAGACCGTTATCTTTAAGCGAAGCCCTGGTGGTGCAGTGGTTAAGAGCTTGGCTGCTAACAAAAAGCTTGGCAGTTGGAATCCACCAGCTGCTCCTTGGAAACCCTAGGGGGCAGCTCTGCTCTGTCCTATAGGGTCGCTATGAGTCTTACAACTCAGGATTAATCTTTACCAAAGCGCAGTACCACATCTTTCTCCTGTAGAGCCGCTGGTGGGTTTGAACCTCTACCAACTAGCAATTCCACATCCAGGTAATTTTCATCAGCATATGGTTAAATAATCAAAGACTCCTGTTTTAAAGTTAAACAAGTCTGTATTTAATCCATATCCAACATAAACCAGGTACAGTCGATCCTCATTATTTGTGGATTGCATATTTTCAAATTCGCCTATTCTTTCCAAAAATACGGGGTTGCTTTTGCGGACATCAGCAGGCATGTATATGCGCAGAGATGCGAAAAATTCCCAGCGGAGGTCCAACGAGGCTGATTCGGTGTTCACTAACTCAGTGTTTGCAGGAACATTATTGAACATAACCACCAGAAGTAAAGAAAATCAGTTGTGTTTAATTTTGTAAAATGTCCTTCCCTTCTCTGAACCCCACTTGTAAGGACTGAATAAACTAAATTGTAACACTCAATATATATGACAGGCCAGACAGTAAGTTTTAATACAAAGAGTTAAAACCTTATGATTATTTTTTGCTTTTGTTATTATGAATAATTATTAACACAGCCTAGCCTCCAACAAAAAACTGCAGTCAGTTTCACTTTATTAATTTGAAAGAAAAAAAAACTCGTTTACAACGTTGAATTTGCATTTCTAATTTTTCTCATGAATGAAAATTCCAAGAAGCATGTGGGTTGGAATGGGGAGATTTCATTTTGCAGGGGGAGGAGTGATGGAATAAAGCTCTTTTTCGTACTGTCTTGGAAAATCTTAGATGTTAGACATAAGGCTACTTCTAAAAGCATGAGGGCAGTGGTGGTTCCATGAGAGAATTCTCTCCTTCCATGAGGGAGACCTGGGTTTTGATTCGCTCAGTTTCCATGCTGCTATGATGCTGAACAGGTTTGGGGGGAGCTTCCAAGAACTTCTTATTCTGGAAGGCCAGGCATTCTAGTACTTCTGAAAATTAGCCAATGAAAACCCTATGGATCACAGCAATCTGATCCGCAACCGATCATGAGAATGGTGCAGGACCCGGCAGCATTGAGTTTTGAATGAGGTGATCAGTGAGTCTGGGCCAAGTCAAGAGGGCAGCTAACAGCAACTTCTAAAAGCAAGAAAGCTTATGAGATTGTGATTTGGGTATTTATTTTCCAGGAATAAAAGCAATAAAGGCCATTCGGCCTCTCAAGGAGAATTCGAGGAGCATTCCCTTACAGACACTTTGCAAAACCTCCCCAGTTATTGGACAGTACTGATCCCCTGTAGGCCACATCAGGGGCGGAACATAGGCAGAAGACACGGCGGTAGTCACAGGTCCCCCGACATCCAAGGTAATTAACAGCCGGTGAGCAACCGGTTCGGAGTGAAGAAGCCAGAAGATTCATTCGAAAGCTCTAGGCCCAGCTCTTCTCCGGGTGCTGGTCCCCCAGAATCCAGGACTGCAGACCTTACGGGATGCGCGCCCCGGAACCTCCAAGGACCGGCTCCTCATCAATCCTCAGCCGGTCTCGCCTGACCGCAGACTCGTCACCGCGCCAAGGCTGATCCTCCGCGCTCTGCGCCCTCCACCAGGCCCCAGGAGCTCCGCCTGTAGCGCCATCGAGGCCCTGCAGCCCCAGCCCCTGCCCAGCGTCCTGGTGGAGGCCTCAGCCCGGGAAACCCTGCCCGTCCAAGCGCTTCCGATGGGAGGAACCCGAGGTCTGGGCTGGGCAGCCAGGGGCCGCAGGCTTCCCCCCTTCGTGGTGGCCCTGGCCGCGGACTGTGCCCTGCAGGTGCCACTGCGCGACGCCAACCTGGTGCTGGAGACCGCGCCCGCGTCCGTCCTGCGGGTGTCTCCCGGGGATCACACCCTCATCCTGGTCCACGAGGCCCTCCTGGGTTCGGTCGTCGAAGACTCCAGAGGGGAGAGCGACTCGCATATCAGCCTCGAACGGGGCTCTTTCCTGAGCGTTCCCGGGGACGACGTCGCCGCCGAGCAGGGATCCTTCTGCGCATCTGCCTCGGAGACCGCCGCCCAAGCAGAGGAGGAAGAGGACCCCGAGTTCCTGCAGCTCTGTATCGACCCTCAAGCCGGCTCAGTCGCTGGGCTCTGTCCCTCCGCTAGAAGAGTCCCCAGTGCCTGCCCGCGGAGCCCCATCCGAGAACCCTCTCCTCGGGTCCCATCCCTAGTCCAGAGAGACTCTCTCCACACCTCTGCTTCCACCTGGACTCCAACCTTCTGGGGCCCTTGCCCAACTCACCACTCCAACCTCTGCCCCCTCTCCGAGTCCAGGCCCCCACAAGCGCCCCAGCGCTCTCTGGTGCAAAGCCCCGGAGACGCCTGTTCCAAGAATTAACCTTTCCCAACAATCCCTTAACCACCCCTCTAGGGACCCTAATAAACCAAAAAACTAAATTCGTTGCCATCCAGTGGATTCCGACTCATAGGGGCCTGACTGCATCTACTGAACCCCATTGTAAGCAAATCCCACCACTCAGAGATGGAGCATCTTCATTTGTGAACAGTTACGGCATGTGTTTGCGCAGAATTCCTTGACAGTACCAGGCAATGACACCAAAAGAGAAAGATTTTGCCAAGTACTTTTAGGAGAAACAAACGAAAACCTGTTGCCCTAGAGTCTATTCCGACTCATGGTAATCCCACGTTACAGAGTAGCACTGTTTGGTAAGGTTTTCTTGGCTGTAATCTTTACAGAAGCAGATTGCCAGGCCTTTCTTCCACAGCATCACTAGGTGGGTTCAAACTGCCAACCTTTAGATAGTAGTCCAAACTTAGTCTTATTGACTGTCCTTTGTAGATGACTTTTCATTTATCCCTAGATGCTCTTAAAATTCTTTATCTTTGGTTTTGGCAAGTTTGATTATAATATGTCTTGGTGACTTTCTTTTGGGATCTACCTCATGTGGGTTTCAATGAGTATCTTGGATAGATATCATCTCATCTTTCATGATATCAGGGAAGTTTTCTGCCAACAAGTCTTCAACAATTCTCTCTGTATTTTCTATTATCCCTCCTGTTCTGGTATTCCAATAACTCATAGGTCATTCCTCTTGATAGAGTCCTACATAATTCGTAGGATTTCTTCATTTTTTAAAATTCTTTTATCTGATTTTTCCTCAAATAAGTTGTTGTCAAGTGCTTTACCTTCAATCTCACTAATGCTGACTTCTATTGCCTCAATTCTGCTCCTATGACTTTCTATTGCGTTGTCTAATTCTGAAATTTTATTGTTAATCTTCTGGATTTCTGATTGCTATCTCTCTATGGACTCTTGCAGCCTATTAAAATTGTCATTATGCTCTTGAATAACCTTCTTAAGATCCTCTATTGTTTTGTCTGTGTGTTTCTTGGCATGTTCTGCATTTTGCCTGATCTCTTGAAGACTTCTGTATATTAATCTTTTGTATTCTGCCTCTGGTAATTCCAAGAAATTCTCTTCCTCCAGGAAATTTTTTGTTTCTTTATTTTGGGAGCTTGCTGAAGCCATCATGGTCTGCCTCTTTGTGTGACTTGATATTAACTGTTGTCTCTAAGCCATCAATAAATTATTATATTTATTTAGTTTATGTTTGCTTACTGTGTCCTAGCTTCTTATTTTGTTTTGTTTTCATATGCCCAAATAGGCTGCTCATGTGAGCTAGTTTGATTATTGGTGCCTTTGAAGCTCTAACATCCTGTCATCAGATGGTTAGATCTGTTACTAGGTATGTGAGCCAAGGAGTCTGTTTACTTTTCTTGTATGAATGCAGCTTAGGTGTCCAGGTAGTCGGTGACCAAGTGTGTGGTGCAGGCTCTCACTTACAGTGCTAGACAGGCATGGGTGATTGGTGTAGGCCCAGGTATCTGGCTGCAGTAGAGGGTCATGCGCTGAGCAAGGCAGGGAGCTGATGGATGCCCCTGAGTGTCTGGGAGGAAAGCGTGTCCCTGTTCCCTAGAGCACATAGATGGGTGGGTTTTGCAGCCGGACTATGAGTACCCATTGCTGTTAGCTGTAAGGATTGGGGGCACCACTTATTCTTGGACCCCTGTTGCAGGTGGCTCAGTGGCATAGGTGGAGCCACCAGCCCTCAGGCCCCCAATCTGAGTAAGTGAGGACCCTGCTTAATGGGCAGAGCAGTGCCAAATGTCATGAACCTGTCACTTCACCATATAGCTGAAATAGCTGAAGTTAGATTTCAGGTATATACCCTGTTGTACTGTGGGAATGAGAGCCTACACTGTTGAAATGGGCCCACACAGGTCTATGCAGGGGTGAAAGCCATTCGAAGTCTGTGGACCCCTTATGCCTGTGCCTAGGCAAAGGAGCTGTGCCTACCCTGAGTTCCTGGCTTAGGGGAGCCAGCAGATTATTTCTTCCCTGTTTGTTAATTTGTTCCCTCTCCAAGGCCAAGAGAATGGCTCAGGGCACGTGACGGGTCCTACTTCGGGCCCAGGGAACTCAGAAATCCCTGAAGCTGGCCTGGGACCTGGTGCAGAGCAGGGAGGGGGGAGGTGAATGGGAGAGGGGTTTTTCCCAAAGGAGTGTTTTTTGATCTGTGTGGTAGGCTAGACACATGTACTTATCTTTTGCTGACTGAGCACTGCTTTTCACTGGTTCTGGATGCCAGAGTAGCTTCTCTGCTGCTGGGTCTCTCCTGATGTGGAAAATGCTCCCGAGCACCACTGCTTGCCTCACTGCGAAGGGAGGCAGATGTGGCCTGAAGGGGTCCAGCTCCCACTGCGTCAGGTCTGGCAAACTCCTTGCTGCTTCCCAACTGTCTCTCCCTCCCTTTGCCACTCAATCCAATCCCTCAACTTTGCCTTTGATATTCAGCATTCTTAGATAGTCATATATAATCGATTCACTTGTTTTTTTTTCGGGTCTTTGTTGTAAGAGGGACCACAGGAAGTGTCTGACTACTCCGCCATCTTGGCCTCGCCTCTCTCCTTCCATCTCCTTTTGATGCTTCCTGCATTGTTCAATATTTTGCCCATAGAATCCTTCAAAATTGCAACTCGAGGCTTGACTTTTTTTCTTCAGTTCTTTCAGCTTTAAGAAATACCGACAGTATTCTTCCCTTTTGATTTTCTAACTCCAGGTCTCTGCACATTTCATTACAATACTTTACTTTGTCTTCTCAAGCCACCTTTTGAAATCTTCTGTTCAGCTCTTGTGCTTCATCGTTTCTTCCTTTCACTTTAGTTACTCTATGTTCAAGAGCAACTTTCAGAGTCTCTTTTGACACTCATTTTGGTCTTTTCTTTTTTCCTGTTTCTTTAATGACTTTTTGCTTTCTTCATGTATGATGTCCTTGATGTCATCCCACAACTCATCTGGTCTTTGGTTATCAGTATTCAATGTGTCAAATCTATGCTTGAGATGGTCACCAAATACAAGTGGGATATACTCAAGGTCGTATTTTGGTTCTTGTGGACTTGTTTTAATTTTCTTCAGCCTCAACTTGAACTTTCATATGAGCAAATAATGGTCTGTTCTGAAGTCAGCCTCTGGCCTTCTTCTGATTGATCATATTGAGCTTCTTCATGGTCTTCTTTCCACAGATATAGTCAATTTGATTTTTGTGTTTTCCATCTGGTGATATCCACATGTTTAGTCGTCGTTTATGTTGTTGAAAAAAGGTATTTGCAATGAAGAAATCATTGGTCTTGCAAAACTATATCATGCAATCTCCAGTGTTGTTTCTATCACCAAGGCTATATTTTCCAACTACAGATCCTTCTTCTTTGTTTCCTAGTTACGCATTCCAATCACCAGAAATTGTCAATTGCATCCTGATTGTATGTTTGATCGATTTCAGACTGCAGAAATTGGTAAAAATCTTCAATTTCCTCATCTTTGGCATTAGTGGTTGGTGTATAAATTTGAATAATAGTCTTATTAACTAGTCTTCCTTATAGGCATATGGATATTATCCTATCACTGACAGTGTTGTACTTCACGCTACATCTTGAAATGTTCTTTTAGACAATGAATGCAATACCATTCCTCTTCAATTTGTCTTTCCTGGCATAGTAGACAATATGATTTTCTGATTCAAAATGGCCAATACCATATCAGCTCACTAATGCCTAGGATATCCATCTTTATGTGTTTCGTTTCACTTTCAACAACTTCCAACTTTCCTAGATTCATACTTCATACATTCCACGTTCCAATTATTAATGGATGTTTGCGGCTGTTTCTTCTCATTTTGGATCGTATCACGTCAGCAAATCAAGATCCCAGAAGCTTGACTCCATCCACATTATTAAGTTCGACTCTACTATACTTTGAGGAAGTAGCTCTTCCTAAGTCTTATTTCGAGCGCCTTCCAATAGGAGCAGCTCATCTTCCAGCACTATAGCAATGTTCTGCTGCTATTCATAAAGTTTTCTCTGGCCAATGTTTTCAGAAGTAGACCGCCAGGTCCTTCTTCCAAGTAGGTCTTAGTCTGGAAATTTGTCCACCATAGGTGACCCAGCTGGTATTTTAAATACCAGTGGCATAGCTTCCAGTATCACAGCAACACGCATGCCACCACAGTACGACAAACTGATAGCCATGTGGTAGTAATTTGAAGTAAGGATATAATTTTTTTCAGATGGAAATCTGTTGCCCCAATATTAGTTATTGAATAGTCCTTCCTTTCCCTATTAATTTATAATGCCAATTCTCTTCTATGACAATTTCTACCATATAAGGCCAAACTAAAGACATTTTTCAGTAAACAAAAACTAAATGAATTTTCCACAGCAAACCCTTATTAAAGGAAATCCTAAATTATGAATTATGTACTTCAAGTGGAAAAAAAGTGATACCAAGGTGAAACTTCCGAGAATCAGAAAGAAAAATGAAGAACGATGAGAATGGTAAATATGTGGGTAAACCTAAATGCACAATGGCTGGCTAAAACATTAGTAATATCTTGAGGAGATGAAAACAAAACAAAGAATTAAAATATATTGCAACCATAGGATTTAAGTAAGAGGGGATTAGAGATGTTAAGTTCTTTGTATTGTTCAGGAGAAGGGTAAAGGTGTTGATTAACTAGAGACTTCCTTAAATATAGACTATGATATGTTAAGTACAATAGTACGTGTACTATAGTATATAGGATACCCACCCATTGCCATAGAGTTGATTCTGACCCATAGCAACGCTGTAGGACAGAGCAGAATTGCTCCATAGGGTTTCCAAGGCTGTAAATCTTTACGGGGGCAGACTGCCACATCTTTCTCCCAAATATATAGGAATATATAACCCCATTGCCTTCGAGTTGATTCCAACTAATAGCAACCCTATACGACAGAGTAGAATTTCCCCATAGAGTTTCCAAGGAGCAACTGGTGGATTTGAGCTGCCAACCTCTTGATTA